ATACTCTCTCACTAGATTAGGACAAATCATGCCTATAGCTTTAAAACTTTATTATTCTAACTAAAACTAGTCACAAAGTATTAGTTCAATTTCAAAAAACCTTTTTATTACTATAAGGTAAGAAATCAACTCCTTAAAACTTCTAAATTCAATTTCTCACTAGTTAAAACTAAGAAAAAATAGGGTAGAATCAGAGGTTAAGGCAGTACGAGACTTACCCGATAAGTAACAGTTCAAAAATATCGCTCCTATAACATCCCAATTTTTAATCCCCTGATTAATTAAACCCAATTAGGGTAATTAAGTAAGTTAAGGTGGTGTGTGGTCAGGGAGGTCTAATAATCATATTTGATGGTATTTCAGCCCTAGTTGAGGGTTAAGTATCAAGGCGAGCCACTCAAGCATCAAAAGGAGAAGAAAAGGAAGAGTTGATGTTGTGCTGCCACACGCCGCGGCATCGAAATCATCTGCCACGGTGCACAGATGCTTCTGAACAAGGGAAGACCTCTCTGTGCCATGCGCCGTGGCGTATTGTGTGTTCACTATGGCGCATGGTCATTTTCTGTAGATATCAATTGTGAAAATGAGACAAAAAAAGAAAGAAGAGAAAAGAGAGAACGGAGAGACGTGCAAATGCTCTACTAAGGCACAACTTAGATGAGAATTTGAGAAGGTTTGAAACTCTAAATCATCTAAGGTAGGATTTCTAAGCCCTTTTCCCCTTTCCTCTTCCATTTTCTCAAGGATTTAAGCTAGGGTTTAGATGAGGATGGTGATTTTGGTCTATATGGGGTATGGGTCCAAATTTGTTGACTCAAATGGAGTTAATAGGAGTAGATTAGAGTATCTAAAATAGGTATAATGAGTTTTGGTGTCTTGGGTTGTTGGACACCATTAATATCAAAAATATCCTTTATTATGGTTGGTTGGAAGATTGTGATGCCATTAATGGGGATTTAATGGCTCATTAATGTTATTAGGGATTAAAGGTAACTATTAAACCTAATGGATAGGCTCCAACTCATGTAAGGCAATTTAGAAGTGGAGATTGAGGGTTTAAATACTTGAGTTAGTAATGTTGATGAAATTCAACTTGGTTGATTGTAATTTTGGCTCTTGGTCACCTATTGGATTGGAAATTCAAGCTTGGATGCTAGTAAATTGAGGGATAAACCTTTGACCTCTCAAAGGTTTGAGGTAACCGAGGAAACTCTACTTTGGGGTAGTTATATGTTAATTGATTGTTAATTAATTGTTAAATGTGAATTGTGAATGTTACATACATGGGATTTAATGTAAAACCATATATTAGTTTCAATGAGATTATGAAAATTTGTATATGTGTAATTTTATTTTTGGTTTGAAAATGCAAAATGTGAAGTCAAGAGGGTTTTTGAACTATGAACATGTTGATGCTTTTTGAAAATGAATGTGATATTGTGTAGAAGTAATTATGTATTCATGAGAAGTAAATTTTGAGAATAATGTTGAGAAGATGATAATAATACACACTTGGGTAGCACATGGTCGTGAGCCCAACGTGATTGTTATGATGATAAGTAAGAAAATGAAAATGTTAAAATAAGTGAGTATTGATTATGGCATGATTAGTGGTGGGAGTTCGCCTAGGGATTGGGAGTAGAGAAAATCCATATGGTATTTAGGCTGTCCTCTGATGCACGGGGGTATAACCTTGTCCCACAATTTGTCGAGGGACTGTCCTATAGTTTGTCGAGAGACTAGAACCTAGCTATCTCCACCGGTTTAATGAGGAAAATAGCCTAGGATATGAGACACCCAAGGGATTCGAGAATGAGGGAAACCGTGGTCTAAGAGTAAGTTCTGTGATCTTTGGCCGGGTCACATCTCACGATTAGTGAGCTTGGGTAGTCTAATCACATAGATGGAGCCCCATTCAAAGTTATAGCCCACGGTTTCAGTCTAAGAAAATAAAAATGATATAAGGTTGGTCGATCATTGCCTAAGTAAATATATGACGTGTCACAGATGTTAAGTTGTGGCAAGTCGCGTGAATAATAGTTTAAGGTCACATATTTGAGAATATGGTGACAATGCATCTAGTATATGTGAGTTAAGAAGTTATTAAATGATAAGTGACAGGTTGTGATATGTGTGAGCATGTTTTACTTACCTGGTTTCTTATGCATGTCCTTGTCTTATGATTGATATATAACTGCATAGGGTAAGATTTATCTTGGTTACTGAGTGGCTAGACTCACCCTTTTCATTTAACACTTTTCAAGCTCTAGCTCTGGTGTAGAGAGGGAGAAGACTCAAGAGGCTAGGAATTAGCATATTCCTTTTTGTATGCCTCTAGCTTAATTTATTTTGTGTAATAGTATATGTTTGCCAATTCTAGATTGCATGTCATCACACTTACACTATTTTATTATTGCAAATGTCTGATTTGTATTTTGGGCCCTGAGTATTTGTGTATGTTGAGATTGACACACACACATATTTATAGGGCCAAAATACTAGTGCAAGTGTAGAAATGAAGATTTGAACATGTTTTGAATGATTTGAGCGAAATGCAATGATAATTTACCTCCCCCTTTGTTTTTGGTAAAATGGGATTGAGGAGTGAATTTTTGTTTTATTGTGTTTTCAAGGTATGTGACATGTTGTATTGGTAGTTCTAAGTCCTATGTATATAGTCCAAGTGTTAGGAAAGGCTTATGACACATGTTGAGGGTTTGGGACACCCATTTTGTGTGAAAGTTGTAAAAAGTGGTTGAAATGTGTTTAGGTGTCTAACTTCCTTGTGTGACTTTCTTTGGAAGGGAAACCCATGCCATTAGCTATTTTATATAAAGAGCTTTCTATAGACACATAGATCACATCATTCAGATGTCGGACAGAGAATCAGGGCGAGTCAAAAGTTCCCCGATTCTACTGTCAAATGACAGCAGAATCAGTTGAAATTTCGTACAACACACCGCAGTGCATGGTGCCTGAGCCACGGTGTGTGGCACAGAGAGCAATGTGCCATGGCGCAGCGTTCACGAGCCATAGTGCATTGCCCTGTTTCACAGCACATGTTTTGTTTTTCAACCGTTTTCGACTTCTTTCACTCCTCTGTGGTATCTCATACTTCCGTAACTTATTTTTACTCTGATATGACAGATTTTGATTGATTTAAAATCATTTTTATTTAGAAAACTTAGGATCCCTTACTTTTGAATTGAACCTTGGTAATCATCTTGTTGAATTAAGTCTCTAATTACCAAGTGTTATATTGGTTAATTATGTTTAGTAGAGTGAGAATATTACAAAATATTTCAACTCTTGCTCCTAATTTCACTTGCCCTAGAAGATGTTGGCACTTTCTCCACGTCTGACCTGTCTAACTTTGTTTCTCCTTCTGTTTCACGAGCTATTCCATGAAGTTACTTATCAAAGTTCTACACCATGCGTCGTGGCGCATCCATTCTTCGTTGCGACGCGTGACATAGTGAGGGAAATCATTACTGTGCTCACACACTTTGCTTCAAGACTCCACTCTCCCGCTCATATCTATTCATATAACACCCCAAAGAGTTAATGCAAAACTTCACTATCCATAACCCTAATTGCATATTAAATTGCTAATTCATTCCATAATTTTAAAAATTCAGGATGTTATGGCTCTTACCTAAAAGGTGAAGACCCTATTCAACAAGTCTAACCCTCTAAGAACACAAAATTTCCTTATGAATCAAACATGCTAAATAAGTAACAACCTAAGTGAAGTCTTCTTAGTGAATTCTGAGGGCCTAGATGTGACACTTGCCTCAAGGGTTACCAAAAGTACACCACAACCAAATAAACTAAGTGTGGTTAAAGAGTTAATTATAAAACTAACTTAGGAAACAAAATATTTAAATCATCAAATAATCTACATAATAGCAAAGCACACGCTTTAAAACCTCTTAAAAAGTTTGAGGGATTACTATATGGCACACAAAAACAAATTAGGCAAATAGGGGCAATTAGTTGCTGTTATGACAATATTAATTTTGCTGTCATGATAGCCCTCCTGGGCAAATTTTTAGGAGGTGCCATTTCATTACCTAACCTCCAATCAAAGTAATTTAAATCCCATACATCTCTTTTAAAGAGTACTAGTAGTGTTTCACATTTCAAAAAAATCCAACAGTCGGATTAAAATATGAAGACATTATAACATTATAAGTTTAACATTTTTGCTGTCATGATAACACCTTCAGACCAATTTTCAAAATGCACCATTTCATCATCCGACTTTCGATTGGAGCGATTCCAAGACTCACACGTCACATTCAAAGAATAATACTAGTATACCAAATTTTGGAAAGATCCAACGAATGGATTGAAATTTATATATGTCACAACTTCGATAACTGTTGTTGTCATGACAACATTGAATAGTTGTCATAACAATACCTCCGGACTAACTTTCAGAGTACACCGTTTCTCCGTTAACAATACCTCCGGACTAACTTTCAGAGTACACCGTTTCTCCGTCCGATATCTAATCGAGGTGATTCCAAAGTTCACACGAATATTATAAAAAATTTTACTTGTGATCCAAATTTTTGAAAAATCCAATAGTCAGATGCAAAAGTGCAACTTTTTAGTAAAAACTATTTTCAAAATTATCCAAATCTCATCCCAAGGGCTACAAACTTGTAAGAACGCTTTGGACACATCAAATAGGACTAAGAATCTCTAATAAAACATTCAAATGACAGAAAATCCCCTTATATCAAAATTTGACCACCCAAATATCATTTTTAAAAATGGACCTTAATCACTTTAAATTCACAAATCACACAAGAGGGGCAAAAAAACTAATCCAAACACCATATACTCATATAAATATACATGTTAAATATTTTTACTTAGCTCAAAAATCCTCGTGGTGCCTATGCACTGACTCTCTATCTAAGGTGTATGTTTGCCTATAGCACACAATTCGTAATGCAACCACTTCGTATTTACTTGTAAAATCACATATATTGATATACATATCAAAATAAACATTTGCTTGTAGTGAAAACTTGGTCTACAAAATGAATCCATCAAAACCACACATCATAACCAAGTTTCCTAATCACAAGTCTATAAGCATACAAAAATCCATACATAGGCATACAATCCACACATATTCATACGCATATATATATATATATATATAATCACATCCTACTGACATCCTAACCTAAATATATTACAATGTACTTGCTTAAAAGAAAGGCGTTGCAGTTCTTTACAATCCACAAATAATCTCTAGCTCTGCTCTTTTTCTCGTCCACTATTGGATCCTTCGCTTGAACCTGAAAATATTAAAAAGAAAGGGGTGAGACAACCACAGTCTCAGTGACAGAGAAATCCACATTTATCATTACAAAATAAGCCATAGTTGAATAAATAAATAATAGATTAAACATAACATATAATTTAGTCATTTAAAATGCATGAATGCATAACATAGGCCAGTATGACCTTTCTTAACCGACAAAATGCCCCCTAACACTCTTTAGCTTGTGGGTAAACCTTATACCCACTTGTACCCCCAAAGGCACAAAACATAATCTAAGGCATGATCAAATCTACCAAGCTACTTATGCTCTTTTGACATGAATCCTGAATAGTCGAAGCTATTTCCCTCCTAGAGCCAGCCCAACTTACTCTCCATGTGAAGACTGCCTTAGCCTAGACACTCAACCTTACACTTCATATGTCAGATTTCCTCCCCTATTGAGAGATGTCGAACACTTAATCCACTAACCACTTTAATGCATTGAGCCCACAATACAAAAGGCAACACTGAGTACTGGTAGTGTGCCATAGAATATCACAAGTCCACACCTCCCTAATGGTGAACTCCCACCGAGATCATGTCTTAAGCAATTCATTAACCCAACTTTCATTCTCTATAATTGCAATACACGCAGACAACCTCGTTTCTATAAAAACATTATTGTTAAACAAATAGAAAACATATATACACTATTATCCAAGTAGCACCCCATAAGTCCTTATAAAACACAATTAATTGCATTTAATTACTCAAAACATGTAATGCATGATAGCTAGTAATATTTATTCAAAAATAACTAAAACAAAACAATAAAACATATAAATTCCCCTGTTACCTACAAAAGGGTTTCCCTTTATATCAAAAATATGACTTGGCTTATTCCTTGTCCTTCAATTAAATTCTGCTGACAATTCCTTTCAATATATAAGTGATCCACATCACTTATCATGGCAAATATCATAAAAGAAGACTATAATCCATATCACACAACTTGAGTCAATGAGCTATAATTCATCCCAATTGTCCAAATATTAAACCAACCATTCTCATAATACCACTTAACCACCAAAATCATATATTAGCCATTATTAGGCCAATTTCCAACCCATACAATTTTAAATCAACTAAAAGCCTTCACTTAGCATTACCAACTTTACAATTAACCCTCATAATAAAAAAGAAAGATTAACTTAAATCTCATTAGATTCAAATAGCACAATTATATCTAAATCAATATGCTTAAACTATTAAAGAGCAAAACTCAATCCCTCAAGGTTCAATTTTTGCCCTAAAAACTCTTTTTTTCATCCAATTGCCCACTCAAAACATGAAAGCACCATATAGAAACTTAAAACAACCTCTTTAGGATCCAAGAAAACTAAAACTTACAAGAATAAAGCCTTTGGGATCAAAATTTAAAATTTACCTTTCTAAAAACTCAAAAAAATCAAGAGTAAAAGGAGAGGATTGAAGTAAGTAGTTTATCTATCACATAACAGAGCTCGCAACGGCTACAAAGCCTCTCAAATCCAAGCTCTAACTCCCTCTCTTCCTCCTCTCTTCTCCTCATTTCCTCTCTCTCTCTCTCCTGCTCTTTGTTCGTATCTTATTTTCTTTGTTTCTCGCCTCTACGTGCTTCTCATTTAAAAAAAAAATTGTACTAATAAATTGTGAAAAATTATAAGAAAGGGCCCAAATCTTTCTATTATAACACAAAAGCCTGGGGAACTTTAGTAATTTCTGCCATAGTTAAAAATAAAATAAAATCAAACTTTTGCTTAAAAAATTCAAACTATAGACCTTTATCAAATTATTCTTAATTTTAATTTAATTATGTATATTTTATTTTTATTTTTTATTAAACCTAAGTCTTAAAAATTTCAAGATATTATACTAGGTCTCAAAGAAATTCATAGAAACTTTAACTAGTTTAAAGTATATTTTGACCCAAGTATAGAGCTAAACTATTTATAAGTGAATTTTTTTTAGAGTTAAATTAAAGGAAAAATTGAATGAGTGAATGAAGGAAAGGAAAAATAGAATAATAATTAAATGAAGAAAAGAAGGAAACAAAATATGGAAAACAAAATAATACAAAAAAGAAAGAAATATGGTATAATGGCTTAAAGTGAAGGAAAGTGAAGGCAAACAAGAATAATAGGAAAAAGGAATAAGGAAAAGAGACAAATAGCAATGGACCTAGATTTTAAGATCGAAGAACCTTACCGAGTAACTTAAGAAGCCTTAAGTTATAAACTTATTTCCCAAAGCCTTTCCATATGATGATTCTTGATACTAAAAAAGGGTTTAGTAATAGAAGCAGAGTGGGAACCAGGCTCTAATACTAATTGATGCAAAACGAGGGAAGAGAAGGGAAAGAGAATATAGAAAAGAGATAAAGGGATCGGTAGAGAGAATAGAGAGAAGAGAAAAACTTAAAAGAGAGGCAAGAAAATAATAATTCTTATTTAATCAAATGTGCGTACAAATTAAATGAGCTAAGGCACTATTTATGGGCCTCAACCTTAACCCTAGAATGAAATGTGATAAATTCTTGAAATCTTAAAATTAAATAAAAAGATAATAATAATTTAAATATTACGATAATTAAAACAAAATATTCCAATTAATAAAATACCCTACTAAAGTATATTCGATCTTCCAACCTTCTCAAATCTTTAATATCTTTAATTACTTCTTTATCTTTTTCTTCCTATTATATTTAATCCAAAACAACTTAGAGAAATAAAAAAAGCAAAGAAAAGAAAACCTTTACTTTTATCTTTCCCAACATTACATCAAACATCCCAAGATATCCCAAGAATAATGAATATATAAATATCAATTTGGCCCTTGAATTACCAACTCAAATATCTCCCAAAAACCCTCATAAGTTTTATTTTAACTTTCATTATAAAAAACACATGCTTTTCATGATTGTTTAATCAATGATTACATACCTATTATATATATTTTGCCACTTTAAATCCAAAATCCCCCTTTTTCAAAAATTTATCAAACACCCTTTCTAAAGGTTTTCTTATATAATCATAACTAATTACTCAATTAAAATGCAATCTGCTCTTAAGCCTTTTGCCAAACACCTAACACATTACTATAACTTATAAATTATTAACCATATAACTCTTGAGAATCTAGAATTCAAATAAGTTTCCAATAGCTTCTTGAATAAATTCTTTCATAATACATATATAGTTTGAATTCACCATTAGGCAATGCCTAAGCCTGATCACAATTCTCGTGAAATTAACAACATCGTAGATACATGATCATTCAAGCAAAACACATCTTCATCAATTCCATTAGTAGATTAAGATTTCTAAATTCCTTTACTCTCTTAAAACACCCAACAACATAATGAGAGAAATTCCATCCCCTCACTCCCAATGTAACAGCATCCCAAGAACAATAATAGAGCCACATAATTAGACACATAGGAATGCCATAAACAGAAAAGAATTTTGAATCCTCACCTCAAACCAATCATGATGAAGTAAGAGGAAAATTTTGAAGCTCCCCCAAACCAAAACAGTGTTGTGAGCAGGGAAGAGGAAAGAACATACCACCACCTGAACAATGCCAACGAAGAAGGGAGAAGCTTATGCTATTTAGAAATTGAAGAGAAGATGAAGAGGAGGAACCAATAATGAAGTAGAAATAAGAAGGAGGGTGGACCGTACCTTAACCAAACTCCTTGTGATGGCGAACTCTCAGCAACTCAACTCCTATGCCAAGTGGTGGCCAATTGGGAACGAAAAAGGAAAGAGAAGACAAACATAACAGAGGGTTCTCGATTCAAAGCTTCACTCTATCTCTAGAGAGTTCAATAGATCGAAGAAGACCAAAGAAGAAAGTAAAAAATCCAATTAGGGTGGAAGGCATAATTATAAGTTCATGAGGTAGAAACAAAAGTAAAACTCCTCTTTTAAGCCACTAGAATTCAAACACAAGACCTAAAGATCTGACAGATAATAAGTTGGCTTACACTACAAAAAATTTTGTTTAGAGACACACAATAATCTATCTCTAACTAGTGATAAATCTGTCTCTAAACAAGTAAAGATAGATTTAGAGATGAATATAATAGTGTCTCAAAAAGAGGCATCACTAAATAATTAAAGACAGATTTTTTAAGCCATCACTAATTAGAAATGGATTTATTTTATCCCTAGATAAAAAATACCGTCTCTAGTTTTCATGAAAAATCTGTTGCTATAAAATGCTCTAAAAATTATATACCATAATAGAGATAGAATAAAATAATCTCTAAAACCTTCTCTAAAAAAATGAAAACTAAATTTCTTAGGTCTCTCAGTGTCACATCACTTGACACCTCGCTAACCACTTATGCATCTGCACGTGCCAACTCACCTGTCCATGTGTGAGTCAACCAATACCACGTCACGCAACATGTTGCCACCTCATCCCACATCAGTCGCCACCACTTGCCACATCACATATTTGTCACAAAATATGTCAAAGTCAAGATTTGATCTCTTAACCTCCCACCTTCTAAGCTTTAAATCCTCCTTCTTTGCCAGTTGAACTGAAATATACTTATAGTTATTATGTGTGAAATTAAGTATATGTTACTTAAATACATACGCATATATAAAATATTATATTATTAAAAAGATATACATATATTTGTTTTCACTTATTAATATAATAAAATTATTCATATGACTATTTATATTACATTTTTAATAAAATATTATTTTTTAGGAAAATGAACTTAAAATAAAACAAGTTTATAATATAAAAATATTATTTTTTAAATGAAAATAATTAATTATATAATTTATTTAAAAATATGTATTATTTTTGTTTATATTAAATATCTTTTTACTTTTATCTTCTCGATATAATTCTCAAAAATTAATAAATAAATAGTTAAAATTTTATGTTCTCCCACAATAGTTAAATGTTTCCCATTATTTTTTTACAAATAAATTTAATCTATAGTTTTTAATTATTTTTTAAAATTATTTTAATAAAAAATAATTATGACTGTACAAATTTTGTTAATTGTCATTTTGTACAATTTTTTATTTTTAATAAATACTAATAACTTTTAAAATACAAAATATTTAAATTAAATGTTTAATTTAAATATATTTATATGAATTTTTGTATTTAAAAATTTTTTAAACAAAATTATTTTATCAAGTTTATTTAGTATGGAACAAATTTAAAATTTAAAATCTTAGAAATATGTTGTGTGTGTGAGTATTAGTACATAATTCTATTTATCATAAATTAAATATTATTTTATTTATATAATTTTAAGTTACTCCCTCTGTTTAAAAATATAAGGCATTTTTTAAAAAGTTGAATGTTCAAAAATGTAAGACATTTTTAATCTTTCAAGATGTAATCATTGCTTTCTTCTCAAAAGTGCCCCTATTGATAAGACTTTATATTTATTGTAAGATATATAATAAGAATAAATATGAAAAGATAGAGTTAGCTAGAAAGTAAGTAACTACTTTTTTGGAGGATGAAATTCAATTAAAAATGCGTTACATTTTTTAACGGAGGGAGTATATTATATATTAATAAAATAAAATATTTTCTTATATACTTCAATTTTTTTTTCCTTTTCTGCTTTCTACGCTGAAAATGAACATTATTCACTCACACATACATATAACTAGCATAAAAATGATATTTTGCATTAAAATAATTAATTCTAGTCATATAAATATTATTTATAGTTATTTCAAATGTATTTTTATTAACTCTTCTTGATATTCAATTTCATAAATGTTTTGGAACTTAGATTTTTTTTCATTTTAATGTGTTATTATAAAATATTGTTAGTGACTTCTTTCAAGACAGTTTTGTAATTTGGTAAAAATTTATTAAAAATTAAAAAAGTACTAAAGTAAAATATGAATAATACAAAAGAGATAAACATTCAATCAATTATCGTTATAAAGTAAATTAATAAATACTAAACAGAAATTTATAAAATGAAAATGATTAAACTTAGAAAAAGAGAAAAAGAAGAAGGGAAAGATTTAAATGACGCGCAAAATATTTTCAAACACTCAAAAAATTGTGAAGATAAATATTTTTGAACACAAGCATTTAATTTTTGTCATTTGCATTGAATGAGAAGCTCCCTAAACAATGATGAAATTTTTTCTACATCTTTAAAATTAATTTGTATTTTAAATATTTGAAACATGTATTAAAACAATTGATGATTATCCAAAAAATTAAAAATTAAAAATATGACTTCACCTCTAAATTTTTCCCTACTTTGAATTAGAGACACGTTGAGAAATAAAAATAATTCCATCTCTATTTATTTCAAAAATCTCTAATTTTTTTTCTAAATTACTAAAAATAAAATTATGAAATTTTGAAGAAATATAGAGAGGGAATTAGAGATGGTTAGATTTTTGTCTCTAAATAAATATGTCTCAAATTCAGTCTCTAAATTTAAAAAAATTATAAAATTAATATTAGAGACGGATTTGGAGATGGCTATTTTTGACATTTAAAAAAAATAGGGGCATTTTTTTAGATTGGAGGTGATTTGAAAATAAATCAAATAACCTTCAATCCAAAAAAAATGCCCCTATTTTTTTATAATTATGTAATTTTTAATATATCTTATAATATAAACCATCCCAAATATATAATATCAACTCAAGTCAATCCTTTAAGCAATTACTTAATTAAAAGCTCAACAGCATTGCATTATGCCGGACATGTTAAATATTGAGGCTAAGAATATATTTGTCAACAAAATCAGAACCCAACATAAGAAGCTCTAACACAAATGAACAGAGACATGTGCTGCAGATATGAAGACAAAACACAGCAACATTGGCCCCATGAGCCGTCACTAACTTGGCTGAAGATTCGTAACAGCTTTTTCAAATATGTGATTTGCCAAAGAGATTTCCTCTCATGATGAGAAAATCTCATTTCTTATTATAATAGATTACATCAACAATGCATATTTGGATTCCCTGATTCTCCTAGGAAAGTTAAAATGCATTTTGCAGAAGAGAGAAAGAAGAAAAATAAGCGTATATGGGTACCAGGAAAACTAAGAAAACTCACTCAATTCTTTTCATTAGTGCCTCTATTGGTGGGCCAAAAGTTACTAAGCATTCTTTTGGGTTGATTTGGAAGACCATGAAGAGCCTTGAGCTTAGTATTTCTCTCAATTCCATTGGGAGTAACACCATGTTCATCCAAGTCATTATCGTCAGCAAGCTTCATCCTGAGAGTTAGTAACACAATGCACATTATCCTATAGGCAATTTACTGACATTTACTCGATCTCTTAGCAACCAAATGAACTCTTACATCATCAAAGCCTTGAGCTTAGCATGTCCAAGGACAAGTTGGAGGGTATGTTACTTCAACTTAATTACACCCTCTCTATTTTAGGAACAGATTTTTAAACAAATAATAGTTATTAATATATAAAAGATGTGCAGATGAAATTCATTATCAATATATTTGTTGGCATGTTCTGTAGACATAGTGGAGCATACACATAACAATAATTATAGCTTAGCATACGCGATAGTGAAGGCAATGCTTATAAGAACCAATCTCAAATTTATTTTATTTGTTCCTAATTAAACATCATTAATAATTATTGATATATCTGAAAGTTCAAATAACTTGTGCAAGAAGCAGGTCATACAGCACCGGAGTACAAACCTATGGATTGCTATGCAATGTTTACTAGGTGGACCGCTCGTTTACCTCTCTAATCTTTCAAGCATAATTTTAATGATCCCCAACTTAACCTATCTATCTACTAAAAGAAGGTGGTACTTTGCATTATTTTGTTTTCTAGTTTTGAAGAAGGGTATCAAATATGAGCTTCAAACTCTGAGTATTACAAGTTTGAAAATGAATTGCCTTGCTCATTGTTTGCTTGTTTCATATTGTAGAGAATTTTGCTCAAGGATTTAGTGTAAAACCTCTTATAGCAGATTTCAATACATACTCTACATCTTATAATCATATGTTGTCAAGTACATGCAGCTCCAATACAATTAACAGTCAGCGCACAGATATAGAAACTTCTAGCCACAGTAGATAATAGTCAAACAAAGTGGGTAAAAACTATGTTTTTTATCATGTAATATGCTTTCTTTCATGCTGTTTGTAGAGGCCAAGTCAGCCCATCAAATAAATTCACATTTTCAGAAGAGAATAGTTTAAAACCCCTGTTACTATCAATTGGCTACAATGTTTTAGCCCAGATACTTAGCAAGAACTTAGAGAGTCATTAATAAACTGAACCCAAGACAGCTCTTTTAGTTGATTGAAATTGAAAAAAAAAATGAAATGCAAATTTGACATCATCAATTTTTATGTCTGACTCCAATTGAAACGAAAGTATACTGAAAAAGGAGCATTTAAAGTACTTCACTGTAAATCGAAACTATGCAAGGAATGATAACCAAGATCTCAAAATGCAAATCTAAAAGTCATTTTATTATGATGCTCAAGTATTATTGATAGACTTTAAAAGAAGATTAAAATAATAAGCAACACCTCTAATCTATTCGAGTCATCTGTAAGAGTCATATTGGCTTCCACTTTTGCAGCAACTAAGCCAAGCAAGAAAGTTCCAACGCCAAGCTACGTGAAACCAATCAAATGAATAACAGATGAATATAGGCCAATCCTTAAAATAAAATCATAACAAAGTAATAAAATCATATAACTGAGGGTTCACGATGTTTGGAATCTTGAACATATGTGCGGCTAGAAGATTGGGGGAACACATTGAGTGTGAGAAAAAAGGAGGAAAACGAACGATTTCGAATAGCGGAGACTTGTTTGAATATTGAATCCTCCACTTTGCTATCGAATGAAAGGCCAAAGACTTGTTCGAGTATAATCTTGTGATCATCAATCATATGGCCCCGAATCTGGAGCGGCCAACACGATCTGGAGTAGGAGACGACAAGATGACACAATCTAAAGTAGAGAAACCCAACGATGGCAAAGCAGTGACACTGAAGAGAAGAGGATGAGAAGAGTCATAATGTTTAGGTTTAGGGATGGAAGAGATCGGGAATCTAAAGATTCCAGGGTTTGAAATTTTAAAACCGATTATAAAAATAATCAATTTAAATATATTAAAAAAAATTTAAAATTTGAAACACATTTAAACCAGTTATAAAATATAACCTGTTTAATTATGTTATAAAACAATTTTTTAAATTAAAATATATATCTAAATCAATTATAATTTATAATCGGTTCTCTTTAAAATAAAAAATATTTTAAAATATAATAGATATCTAAACTTATTTAAATATCAATTTCTAAACCGGTTAGTGGGGAAATTAGTTTAGATATCATCTCAACTATCCATTTATTTACAATAATACCACCATCTCTTATTTCTAAACCATATGCACTTGAATGGGTTTACATATGGGGGTTTAAAAAGCATATTTTGTTATAGTGTGTCTCTAACATTTTAATTTTTAAAAAATTAAATTCTTAATGAATAATGACAGAAGTTAAGACGGATTTTGTGGCACTTTTTTTAAGACGTATATAAGTTGTTTATAAATATGTCTCAATATTTTAAAATATTTTTTTAAATTAAATCCATCTCTAAAAATGTAATTTGTCTCTACTTTCATCTCTAATTTAATTAAATCCGCTAGACCAACTCTCCTTCTTTATAAATTTGTATCATAACTATATATATATATATATATTAAAAGACCTTACCATCAATTTTAATTTTAACTAAATTCTTGGTCATTATAGAGACTAATAGAACGACGAGAACAAGGCACGTTTGGATGGAATGTGCAACCTTTGAATGGAAAAACATCGTGCTGTAGTGGGGATCTTCAAGAGTTACTGTGAAAGCATCTGAAATGAAAAGAAAAATCAAAGGGAAGACTTCATTGAATTCACAAGATCGACAGATTGGTGACAACTTGTGGTAGATCTAGTTCGTGTAGCAATGGAAGGTTGGATGGCAAACACAAAAAGTAGATTATAAGAGTGTCGGCAATACAAGATGACCAAAAGATAGGTTTACATAGCTTCAATGTCATAGATAGCTAGAAAGGAAAGTGTATAACTCAAACTTGTGGAGTGGGAAGAACTAATGTGAACTCTAAAGGAAAGTTTCAATAGACCTTTTAAAACCCTTCCACATTGAAGAACTCTGAAAGGAACATGATTCTAGAGAGTTTCCTGGGGAAGCGCTCCAAAAGGCCGAAATGCTTCATTAAGAAGCGCTCTAAAAGGTATTTCATTTAAAAAATTTTAAAAAATTATATAACAAAGGCCTTCTGAAATACTTTTAGCTAGAAGTGCTTCGAATTGCAAAATTTATTGAAGCACTTCCTTGAAGGAATATAATTTTTTAATTATTTTTATAGACATCTTCCAGAGCTCTTCTCATGAGAAGCACTTCAAAGGGTAAGCATACAATAATGCTTTTTCTCTGAGGTGCTGTTGTAAGGTCACTTGTAAATTTTTTTTTTCCCTAACTATTATTAATCAACTGGTGCATGAATCCTAAAAAAAGACAAATTACCTACTTCATCATTTTCCCTTTTGTTGGGCCGTTCATGGGCCAAGAAAATTCATTTATATTTATATTCCCATGTATGATTGGGGTTGTTGGGCTAATCTAGTAATGAGCCAATAAACCAGCCCAATAATGAACCAACACATAAACAAAATCGGGCATGAATAACAATTCAAATGTGAAATAAAATGCTTTCAATTCCGACAATATCATTTGTAATTTTTTTCTGCCTAATTTTATATATTATCCACTTATTTTTAATTTATATAATATGTATGCTAATTAATATTGGATATTTGATTATACTCAAATCAATTTTATTATTCATTCTGAAGCACATAGAATTATAAGAAACAAAAAAAATCTCCAAAATGCATAATTATAAAAAATCCTTTTTGTATCTTTCTAAGCTGCAGTCTACATATATATATATATATATATATAGATAGATACACTCCTAAAGAATGAGATCCAGATTAGTAGAATATTATAAGTAGGAAAACAAATAAGATATATACTATTATTAAAATCCAATGTTGACAATGGAATTAAGTTTATTAAATTTTCACATTACGTATAAAATATTTATCCTGATTGTCGAAACCAAAAAAATATATATCTAAAATAATAAAACATGTTAAAAATATATATTTTGACATATCTATAAAAATTAAAATACATTTTAAAGTCTTAAAAATGGTTATAAAAAATGATGACAACCAAAACAAATGTCCCCCTTTTTATGCGTTATATGTGTATTGCCAAGAAGACTCTTCTATGAAATAGACTCTTCTATGAAATAGACCTCCATATACCACAAGTCCATAAAAATAAGTTAGAATAATTTCATATGATAATATGTCCAAAAATTAAGGTGGTCACAACTTGGACAACTACAATGAAAACAAATTTATCAACTTGTTCGTGGTGAACAACAAATACCAAGTGTGCCAGAGACGCTAAGTCTCAATTGATAACAAAGGGTCCCGAGTTCTCTTACCACAGTTTACTCGGATGTAAAAAGATACAAGACTTCAGTAGAACAAGTGTTTCATTTTATTGAAATATGAAAAGGTTACATATCTAAACTGAAAGATCTAACTGATGAACCTAAAGGGCTAAAAAGTGTAAAATTGCGAGTCTTTGATTGAGTGTTGACTGGTTTCTTCTATATCTTCTTCTCCTATTTATAGTGTTAGAGTAGCAGTAGCCTCTTCCTTAAGACCAAGCACATTTTGCCGAAGAATCAGGGATCTTGCGAAACTCATGGCACAGTCTTTATTCCATGCTCTCTATTTTGATAATTAGCCTGTTTCTCCAAGATACTTGACTTGGGCGTGAGGTCCGTAGATTTTGGCATTACTTGAGATTGTGTCTGTTGCGCCAACAGTCTAATATTTATAGCTAACGGGATTTTAGCATGTTTATTGTGGCTTTTATTGAGCATCGGGGCCAGCCTTTTTTGTTTATATTAAGCCTGATGCTTCAATTACTCAGCTCAATTAGCCCTGTAACCTACCTTGAGCGATGTTTTATATTTTAGCCCAAACAATGCCCCCGCGTGCCAGTGGCTGATAACGTAAGCCACGTGGCATGTTTGAAAAAACTGAAATGTCGCTTTGTTTCTGAGTGCCCTTTGTTAATATAAACTCATTTCTTTTTTCTGGTCACTTCTCTTGCCCTTTTTGTTGTTTCTTGAACTTTAAACATTCGCTCTTTTGCATCCCTCTTACCTTAGCTCTCAAATGGCTTCCTCCACCTCTACCGCTTCTTCTATTATCGCTTCATCTTCCACATTCGTTGAAAGTCTGCCTAATTCTTTGGCGACTATCTGAAATCCTGTTACCCCACTTGGCAGGTTTGTGACGATACGTACTCAATGGTTTGAAAACCTTTATTTCCCCCTAGATTGGTTCCTCATTCTAATAGTCATTCATTTTCTTTATAGGAGAATTCTTCATTCCACAAATCTATGGCTTTCTGGTAAGTTTCTCGCTTCTCCTGTTTAGCTCTTCTGTTTTATTGGAGAAGTATGCTAACTATTCTTTATTTTTCTCCAATACTTCTCCTTGGAGTTTTCAAATCTCCAATAAAAGCAACGTCGGGTACCTAACCATCTCTCCCAACCTGTCTGAAGTCACAAGCCCTACTCAACCAAATCCCTAGCCAATAACCTTCGTACCTCGCCCTTCTCCTTGGAGTATGCATGTCAATGGAAGGAGATAGGTCTTTATGACCTGATTCAATTATCCCTGGCCGATGTCGACATCCCGGTTAAACTTCTGACAGCCTTAAAGTTTCTAGGCTTTGGGCTGCAACGCCTTCATATTTGAGCTCAGCCCCATGTCCCTCACTCTATGGGATGTTTTCATGTTCTTGGGGCCGCCCATTACCAGGGAGGAGAACTTCTACGCAATCCTCGAGAAGCATGACTCTTACACCACCCTCCCAGCTAACTTAGAGAGCAAGATTAAGAGTGCAGGCTCTTACACAAAGATCATAGAGCTCTTCTCTGAGAAGCCAGTCACAAAGCCCATCACTGCCATAGATCATCTAGTTTTCATATAAATCCTATTAAGCCAATGGATCCTGACCTTGGGAGGAGGGAAGCCTGTACAGCTATACTTGAGGATTGCCCAGTCCCTACTTTGCGGTAATCAGATAACCCTAGGGATGATGTTTCTGTGCCACCTCTATGATGGCATGAGGGAGTCGCTGACAAAGAAACCCTTCAGCAACTTCAATAGGCCCGTCTGGTTTTCCTGATGATTCTCGCGCCAACCACCACTTCACCTATCTCCTGGGTAGTCATCCGCTAACCGACTTGAAGAACTTCTTCGAGTTCTTTAGTTAGCAGAGCTAGTCCTTCGGGAGGACCTTGAAGGCTTTTAATATTTTAGACTTTCACCTCCCCACCTGGTACAAGCATATGGTGGACTGAAAGAACAATCTCGCCAAGCTACTAGAGGATGAGGTTTTCCTCTTGGCCATTACTCCAGGAAGATGTGGTTTCCGTACACTAGCTCTTCCTCTAAGTTTCTGAGGGTCTACTTAGAGTCCTATCATCCTCGTGGCGGGCCAGTTTGGATCGAGCCAGTACATCCCTCAAGGCCTATCTCCCCAAATCAGTGTGGAGCTACTGGATAGGGAGGCTATCGACCAGAAAGCCATTCTACACACCGCTTAGAGGCAGTGCAAGGTGGAACTTGTAGATAGAGATGCCTACCTCTACTCCAATAAATGGTGGTCTCAGCACTTTAGGTGCATAATAAAGAGCAATACTAGTAAGTATCATCTCCTGTGTTTACTTTATTTTTCTTTCTTTTACCTCATGCCAAAGTCTAATCCCATTTTTTATTTTTATAGGCCGTGATTGGATGCAATCTCACACGCTGATGATGTTTCTGAGGGGAAACATTAATGCCCCCGCTGCTTCTGAGACCCAGACGGCCCCCTCCCTGAAGACCGTGGTCTAAGGGATAGAGCAAGATAATGCCTCATCTCA